GAAGGGTGCTCCAGAAGTATGTGCACCAAAATGTCGCATAACCTGAACCCTAACCTGATGCACATACTATGTTCAGGTTGTGTGCCATCTTGGTGTACATATTTCGTCAGCACCGATATAGGAAAAAATCGCTGCTTTGTCGAGTATTCGTTACAGCAGAGAGAATCTCATGTCAGCGTGTTTCATACGTCTTGCTTTGTTTGCAATGCGCAAAATAAATGCAAGGATTAAAACGAGAATAGGCAAAGCTGAATTGTTAAATTGAGATTGGTTCATAATGTATTTGTTTGTCAGCTGGTAGACAGCAGTCGAAGTTGTCGTGAAAAGCAACTCAGCACTAATGTATTGCAATATATCAGTGGTTCTCAAAGTTGATTAGACGTGGAAAGATATTCGCGGGCCTGGAGAGGGGAGTGCCCGCAAGAGGCCAATACCGGTACCGATACGTATGATAAAGATACCCGTCTAGTTGATTTGTGACGAATATACACGTGCTTAAACTGTGATAATGATGTAACAATTGGTGGTATCTAGAACGGCAAACACATGAAATGGCGGGCCATATTAAACCGTTACGCGGGCCGTAATTGGCCCGTTGGCTGCGGTCCGGGAACCACTGTAATATATGATATATATGTGGATTTATATCGTGATATGTCTGAGTGTAAACTGAGCAGAGTTAAATAAAATATATGCCATGAATAAGAATAAATATATGATACAGTCGCACTATCGCAACAGTTTTACTTTCTTCAATAGTATATGCTACTCGGGTCGCGACCCAAAACTGGGTCGCCTGAAAATTTTCTTGGTTTGCTTGCTTTTTTCAACAAAAACTACTAATTTTATTTTATAGTAGATTTTATTGTTCATTACTTATCGATTTTAATCGGTAAGTATGTTGATAGGTATTTGTCTGTCTGTATGTCTGTTTGTCTGTTAGATGCACGCGATATCTCACGAAAGCGAGATTGAATCAGCTTCAGATTTTGCATATGCATTCATCCTATCTCGGACCAGAAGCCTAATGATTTTGGGCAAATTATGTCGTATAATTAGCGAGTTATTAATTAATTAGTGATGGGACACAAGGTGTCACTATGGAGTGAGAGCGCTGTTTTGGGGGATCCCCTAACTTTCGATCGATAAGTCTTCGGTCTCTGACCGATATTCTCGTTTTTTATTTGGTATTGAAGTGTTGCTCAATAGTAATGTCACTGCGGAAAAACTTAGCAGCATTTATTTTGCTCAAGTAAAGCCACGCGTCGATTTTAAAAACTCGCTTATGATAAAACACGCAGTTTTCTCACTTTAAAATAATTTCTTGGGAAATAAATGTTACATAAAATTGATTGTTTTATATTATTCATTTAATTTTGCTCCCAACAGTACTACATGTCAGACAGTATTTGAGTGTGTCTTTGGGTAGCGAGATTTTACAAAATCTATTTTTTTTTAATTTTTGGTCGCTTGAAAAAAGGTTGGGAACCACTGTTCTACATCACTCTATTCAGCACATTGGTTGTAAAATATTTATTCAAGAATATATAAATACCGAGAAAAAATTTGTAACTCATTTTAATATTAGTCACCACATGAATAAATTTGTTCAAAATCTGAAATTGTTTTAATTGTGCATTTTCCTTAACTTTTCAATTCATCGCTGGACAAACTTTACTATTTCATAACCTATCGAACTAACGACAATTAGAGCGGTGGCCTACATCATAGCTTTCCAAACTGGGGGTCGCGCGCAACGAGTTTTACACCAAGTATTTATTGTACTTTTTTAGGCTTTCAATTCGAAACACAATTATTAAAACTAGTGCAAAACATAAATCTCGCTATTTTGAGAGAATACATAGGATCATAGAAGCGGCGCGCTTGCATAACAACAGGGGTCGCGGAAAATTGAAAGGGGTCGCGAGCACCAAAAGTTTGGGAAGCACTGACCTAGACAATTTATTAAAAAAACTTAGATATTATACTTGCATAATCTTATTCGATCAATGATAAGAAAGGACCGTAGACAAAAATTCATTCAGAGGATTTTATGGTCATGGAATATTCAGGATTTGATAAGTTTAGATTTGAAATTTGAATTCGTGTTAAAATTGCTTATTCGCGCATACTTTATGGTACGAATGATACTAACCTGGAAATGCAGAGATTTATATACTTTGTTGAATTATTAAATATTATGACGACACAAATCTTTGTTTTCACAGATTCTCTCGTTTTAAATAATCATCAACAGTCCTCGAGTCCAAGTAACCTGTAATAAACATTTTACTATTCTTAATAAACGGAATTATCAATGTTTATTTGGCAAATTTTTCGGATATCTACTTAAAATACTTTTATTGATATATATTGTTAATATACTGACTCACTTATGCCATCACAGATATATGTGGAGGTACATTCACGCTTTTTCAAAAAACAAAATGTCTCAAAAATTAGAGCCAGCATATGCCAGGATTCTGGTTCCAGTAGATTTGACAGCACAGTCTAGGCCAAAATGGGATTATGTTGATCAGCTACTACAGCTGTCCGACTGACCCATACTATTAGTGTTGATGATGGCCAATAATGCCTTGTCGAGTAACGTCCCTAATAATTGATTGTGCTATCTGTCTTGTGCTAACGTGTCGCAGTTGCGTCACTCGCTAGTATGTTCTGTTGCTGTAAACATCTTATGTTGTGTGGTATGCTGGTGTAATAAAGAAGTGTAAGCGTATTCAGTTGAACCCCTATTCTATAATAGCTTGGGTGTAGAACTTAACATATAACCAAGACATTATTAACATGGTGGCAGCGGTATCTGAAATTCGCTTACCGTCGACTCTTGATCTGCATGATGAAAATTTATCAGAAACATTCAAGAAATGGAAGAGACAGATTGATATTTTCATGCTAGCCAGCGGTTCTACTAGCAAGCCAAAGGAAGAACAGAAGGCAATATTCTTATATTGCGCAGGTGCTCAAATGATTGAAGCTGCCGAACACTTTGTATACAGTGATACAGAGGACGAAAATGACCCTAAAGTTCTACTACAGAAAATGGCTGAACACTGTAATCCTCGGAAGAATGAGGTGATGGAGACTTTTCGCTTTTTCAATATACAGTACAAAGACAATTTTGATACATTTCTCGTTGAACTCCGTAGTAAAGCCGATTCCTGTAATTTCGAAAACAAAGACCGAGTGATCAGAGATAAAATCGTATTTTCAGTAAGCGGTAAATTACAAGAAATTCTGCTGCGGGAGACTGATCTCAATATGTCAAAAGCCATAAGAATTTGCCAAACATATGAAATGTCAGAAAAGCAAGCGACGGATTCCGTGCAACTTCAGAAAGCGAGCAACGAATTTTGTCGACTAAAAATAGACAATACCGAAATACGAACAGAACTTCGAAAAACAAGCGTATTCCAAATGCATACCAAGAATGCAAATTTTGTGGACGCAGACACAAGTTCGGGATATCCTTTTGTCCTGCTTACGGAAAAACTTGTCATTCGTGCAATGGTAGAAATCATTTCCGAGTGAAGTGTAGAAACGCAAGCTATGTTCGACAAATGAAGGAACATGACCAAAATGAAGAAACTTTTAAAGGTCATCAACGTGTCCAGAATATAAATAACGTCAACAGTTCAAGAATAACTGCTCTGATGGAAGCCAACAATTATGAAGTCAGATTTCAAATTGATAGTGCTGCAGATGTCAACACAATATGCGAGAAGTATGTGCGGAAAGACCAAATTAGACCAACTACTGACAATCTTGTGATGTGGAATAAAACGAAAATGAAACCACTTGGTGAGGCAATTTTAAAGGTAAAAAATCCTCGAAATGATGAAGTCGCAGAGGTAAGATTTACTGTTGTCAAGAATAATTTCAACTGTCTTTTGGGGTTAATGACAATACAAGAAATGGGTTTGATTACAATAAACAGCGATAAATTTATTGCAAATGTTGACCTACCGCAAACTTTGGGAAACTTGGGAATAGCGAAATTAAAAGTTGATCCCGATTTTCAACCTAGAGTTTTACCTTGTAGAAAAATCCCAATAGCTCTCCAAGATAGAGTTAAATCAGAATTAGATAACCTGGTGAAAAGGGGAATCTTAATACCGGTGGATGAACCTACTGATTGGGTTAGTCAAATGGCTGTGACTGAGAAACCTAACAAAAAGCTTCGAATATGTATTGACCCTCAACCTTTAAATGCCGCGTTGAAACGAGAACACTACAGATTACCTGTTCTTGATGATGTATTGCATAAGCTACGAAATGCAAAAGTGTTTACCAAGTTTGATGTAAAAGAAGCATATTGGCACGTAATATTAGATGAAGAATCGAGTAAGTTAACGACAATGATCACACCTTTTTCTCGTTACAGATGGGCTAGACTCCCATTTGGTTTGAATGTGAGCAGCGAAATATTTCAGAAACGTTTAAATGAAGCATTGTTCATATTGAAAGGTGTTATAACGATTGCAGATGACATCATAGTAATTGGATGTGGAGACTCGAAATCTGAAGCGGAAGCGGATTTGAGAGAGAACACAAGAAATCTCCAAATCAGGTGCCGAACTAAAAACATTAAATTAAATGATACCAAAGCAAGAATTAGGAAAGAAGAAATAACTTTTATGGGCCATAAGATTACAACAAGTGGGATAGAGCCAGATCCTGCTAAGACAGAGGCCATAGTGAAAATGTCATCGTTAAAAGATGTCAGTGATGTGAAACGATTTTGTGGTATGATTCAATATTTATCCAGATTTTTGCCTAATCTTGCCAGTGATCTAGAGCCAATTCGAAATCTCACTAGAAAGAATGTTAAATGGCTATGGAACGAAAAGTGTGAGAAAGCTTTTCAATTGGTCAAACGTAAAATTACGAAATCGCCCGTATTAGCTTATTACGACCCTAACCTTGACCTAGTCATTATTCGCTGTTTGATTAAGCGGTGATGCAGTAGCATTATTCGCTATTTGATTAAGATGATATATGAATAACTATAAAACTTAATATTGATAATCTTTATAACTTTTGTATGGATGTAATCCACATCTAATTTTTTGAAGAATATCTTGAATTGTGCAGTGGGAAAAGATGGACACTCCAGACAAATCCAGTTCTCCTCCAGCTCCACCTAAGCGCAAAAGTCCAACCGATCGACAAATGCATTCGACTGCGTCAATGACCTCCACAATTAAAGTTGACGACATTACCAATCTGGTGTCTGTACTAGAAAGTACAGTTTTAAAGACACTGCGTCTCGAGATCCCTACCATCATCCAGCAACATCTTGAAAGATCTTTCGATGCAAACCAGGCCTTCACCAATAGTCCAAATTTGGAGAATTCAATAACATCATTGAAAGAGTCAATAAACGAGATAAGATCTGAAGTAACATCCTTTACTGAAATCAAAAACGAAATCCATGAAATCAAAATAAGCCAGGATTTCGTGTCGAAAAAATTCGACGAGTTGAGATCAAGCCAAATCGAACTCAACAAAACTGCAACCAAAACAAAAAAAGAGTTATGGAACTTGAAAAGCTTGTGGAAGAGCTAGAGGAAGAAGTAGATATACTAACTGAGAGACAACAGGACCAAGAACGTCGTTCCAGGCTGGCCAATCTGGAATTTCACAATATTCCTTATTCGAACGGGGAAAACTGTGAAAATCTAATCTCCAAGATATGTGAGAAAATTAATGTTCCTCTGAAATCCTTTGACATCTCCAATTGCCATAGAATGTCAAAAAACAATAAGAAAAAGCCATCACCAATAATTGCAAATTTTATAAACAGAAAAACAAGAAACCAAATATTGAAGAATCGACGTAGACTGAAGTCCTTAGACATTTCTACAGTTTTCCCGAGCTTTTCTAGATCCACCAAAATCTTTGTCGTAGAAAATCTAACCGACACGAACAAAGATTTATTTTTCAAAGCTAGAGATCTGAAGCAAGCCTGTGGCTATAAGTTTCTGTGGACTAACAATGGCAAAGTGCTCATTAAAAAGAATTCAGACACTCCTACCATCCCAATCATTACGGAGGAGGATCTACTTTTCATAAAGTAGGTTTCTGTATTTTATATATATTTATATGTACATACATTTTTTTTCTATATAATTCTATTGATAATTATTCCTTGCAATTCCAATACTTATTTCCCATATAAGTAAATGTCGAATAATTATGATAATTTCTCAGACCATTGTGATAATGGTGCCAACAGTCTTATACCTCCAAATCAAATTAGTGGTTGCCACTGCAGCAACCTAGAAGTGGCAGATATAAAAAATATTAGAACTGATTCGGATTTAACTATCATACATTTAAATATTCGCTCAATTCGAAAGAATATTGGGCAGCTATCTGCACTTTTGTCTAATTTCAACCCTTCACCCCATATTATAGCTATAAGTGAGACAAAATTAAACAATAATTCTGACTATATAAGCATTGATGGCTATAGATTTATACACGCACCTTCTGCTTCGAAAGCAGGTGGTGTCGGTGCTTTTATTAGAAATGAAATTAAATTTACTGAGACAACTGAATATCATCTAAATTACTCCAATTGTGAAGAATTATGGCTTGAAATAAACCTTCAAAGCATTAACATTAATTTGAGCATTGGTATTATATATAAACATCCAAAAAACGATATTTCTACTTTTACCAGCATATTTGAGAACTGCCTTACAAAATTAACAAAAAATCCTTTTATGATCGTGGGAGATTTTAACATCAATCTACTTGCAGCAAAATATAGTACCCAAATTGCCAATTATACCAATATGTTTGTTGCTCATAACACCTTTTCTATTATTACAAGACCTACCAGGGTCACACAAAATTCGGCTACACTAATTGATCATTTATATACAAACATGACTCATATAAAACTGGATTCTCATGTTATATTATCAGATATTACTGATCATTTCCCAATAATGTGTAGTCTTAATGGCATCAAACCATTAATCAGAAATGATGTTATTTTTAGAAGGGATATGTCTACATTTTCGATTGACGCGTTTCGGTCAGACATGCAAGATATAATTAATAATCACTTTGCTGCATTTAACTTGAATGCCCATAATTTTAATAGTCATTTTGAAGAATTTACAAATTCTATTGTTCATCTAATTGACCGCCATGCTCCGTTTAAACAATTGTCACGCCGCGAAAAAAAGATTAAACTTAAACCATGGATATCGAAAGGAATACTCAATAGTATTCGTTCAAGACATAAAATGTATAAATCCCACTTCCTAAAGGGCAATAGTTCCCAGTGCTCATATTTCAAAAAGTATCGCAATTTACTCACACATACCATTGATATGGCGAAACAAATGTATTACCAGAATATGATTGCTGAAAACAAGGGAAACCCCAAGTCTACATGGCGAATTGTGAATCAAATTGCATCCTCTAAAAACAAGTTAAGGCATAATATTGACGAAATTCATCTGGAAAATGGCAGTATTATTAATGATAGTCATTCAATTGCACAAGAATTCAATCAGTACTTTTCCACTGTCGGATCTAATCTTTCTAAACAATTCCCCAATGACATGGAGGGGTTTAGAAAGTATCTTGACAAGCGGATAAGCAATTCCATATTTCTGAATCCCACAACAGTGAATGAATTAACAGCTGAAATCATAAGTCTTAAGGATGGTAAGGCAGTTGGGGCTGACAACATCCAGAGCCGCTTTCTCAAGTATGTTGCTGATATCATAGCTCCATGTCTGACAAAGTTTTTCAATAGTTCACTTCAGTTGGGAATATTTCCATCTTCATTGAAAATCGCGAGAGTAGTTCCAATCTTCAAGTCTGGCAATACAAAACAAGTGTCAAATTATAGGCCTATTTCGATTCTTTCTGCCTTAGACAAGGTATTCGAACGCTTGATACATAAACGACTAATGAACTTTCTCAGAAAGCACGAGATACTGAATAAATCACAATTTGGTTTTCAAAGCGAACATTCTACTTCACATGCGATTCTTGACACAATATCTCACATCTATGATAAACTAGAAAACAAAGAATATGTCAGTGCAACCTTCTTAGATCTTAAAAAAGCCTTCGATACTGTTAATCACCAAATTTTAATACATAAACTGTGGCACTACGGTATTAGAGGTGTGGCTAACAAACTTTTTGCCGATTACTTGACCAACAGATCACAATATGTACAAATGGGTTTTTATTGTTCACCCACCTTACCTGTGACCCACGGAGTCCCACAGGGATCGTGCTTGGGACCGACTTTATTTTTAATATTCATCAACGATCTTGCTCGAAGCACCACATTATTTTCGAAATTGTTCGCGGACGATACAAATCTGCTTGATAGTGATAAATCCCCTGAAGTACTCCAATCAAGAGCGAACGCTGAAATTGAAAAAGTTGCAAATTGGATAAAACTCAACAAACTAACTCTAAATGTAGATAAATCGAAAACCATGCTGATATCACCAATTAAAAACAAACCCCCACATGATTTGAAAATTGAGATAGGGGGCTCTGTTCTTGAAACTGTCAATTCCTATAAATATCTAGGCATCTTCATTGACAATAAAATGCAATGGGATATTCAAATATCTAACATTGCAATTAAATTATCCAAATCAGTAGGAATGATGTATAGACTTAGACGATATACATCAGCGTCAACATTACGCATGGTCTACCATTCATTGGTTCAGTCACATTTGCAATACGGTATTATAGCATGGGGATCAGCTAACAGAACCTCATTGCATCGAGTAGAAATTATGCAAAATAGGGCTATCCGTGCTATTACTAACGCTGGATATAGGTCGAAACTAGACCCCCACTATTATAACATGAAAATAGTCAAAATGGCAGATATATATAAAATTGAGATACTGAAAATCATGCACCAGCATCACAATAATAAATTGCCTGTTGCATTCACTAAATATTTTGTTAAGCAAAGCAGTATCCACTCATATGCAACTCGATCTTCTGCTAATAGCTCATATTATGTTTCTCGTTACTCTACAAGTCATACACAAAACAGTATCAAATGCATCGGTGTGAAACTATGGAACACACTGCCCAATTCAATTCGTTCCAAAAATTATAACTTATTTAAACAAATGTTGAAAAATCTTCACCTTGATGCTTATATATGTCAGTAATTTCCCAGTTGTTATACCATTTAGGCTTGTTGTCAAGTTTACCCCTTTCTTCGAAATCATAAAATATATATGTCAGTATGTTGTCTTCATGTGCTCTATGTAATATTTCAACAAAGCTGCAATGCTACTAGCATTGCCAATACTGCAGTATCAATTCTCATATCTATTGATGTATAATCTTAAATTTTATGAACCTCTGAAAGCACTAAATCAATAATAATGATAACACTTTACACTTACAGACTTGGGCATGTGGCTCTGCCATTACATGAATGCATAAGTCTGTACAGCTGTAAGTACGTTAATCTAAAGGCATATTATTGAATATTTTTAATATTATTATCTTATCATACATGCCTTTTCATCTCACATTATGTAGTGTTGCTTACTTCCTCTGTCGATATAATCATTTCACTTGTCAAATTTAAATATTATTGATGTCTCTTTAACTCATATAACGAATTCTCCCCTTTTCTGGTTGCTAACTAGTAACTACGCTATACGGCGTCATGTTAGTCATGAAATTTCTCTGTTGTTTTTACGCTCACCCGAGCATGACATTATAAAGCAAAACTGACTTAATCAGTCACTCTTTCCCGATTGACTTGCATCATATTTACTTTTTATTTCCTGAATTAAATTCGCTCAGCAAGTCATGATGATATCATCCAATTCATATTTTTTTTTTTTTTTTTTACATTTATTCAATGTCATCTGTTCATCAATAAATCAACACGGTGTCGTTGACACGATGACTTTTGCAGTCTTTCGCGGCTCCGCGTCAATTGCGATATATTGTATGCATGTATACTTCAGTCTTCAATTGATTTTTGTATTATCATTATAATTGTTTAATTGCGTACAATATTTCATGCACGACGAAATAAAACTTCTGAGTTCTGAGTTCTGAGTAGTTCTACAAGTTGATAGCAGCAAAGATGGTCTTGGTGCTGTTTTAATGCAGAATGAGAAGCCTATCGAATATGCATCCCGGGGTTTGTCAAAATCTGAAAGCAATTGGGCTCAGATTGAAAAAGAAACTTTATCTGTTGTATTTGGACTTGAACGATTTAATCAATATACCTATGGTCGCAAAGTTATAATTCACAACGATCATAAACCTCTTGAAACAATTTTGAGCAAACCATTAAGTCAAGCGCCCAGACGTTTACAAACTCTTATGATGCGATTGAACAGATATAATATCCAATTCAAATATATGCCTGGGAAATTTTTATTAATTGCTGATACCCTCAGCAGAAATTTTATCGAAAATTCCAAACATTTTCCACATATTTTGAAAGTAGACGCTTTAGAGCAAATTCCAGATGAAAGAATTGAAGATGTAAAGCAAGCTATGATGAAAGATGATGAATCGATGAAGTTACTGAGATATATAAAACATGGATGGCCCGAGCATAAGTATGACTTACCTGACTGTGTAAAACCATATTTTTCAATAAGAGATACATTGAGTTATCAAGATGATATTATTTTGAAGGGTGAACGTATATGGATCCCAAAATCTATGCGTAACGAAATAATGCAACAACTTCATTTTTCTCATTTAGGTTATGCAAGTATGATGCGCCGTGCTCGTGAAACTGTCTTTTGGGATTGGTATGTCCAAAGAGATTGAGCAAATTGCTAACAATTGTTTTTCTTGTCAGCAGACGAAACCAAATGATCAGAAAGAACCATTATTGCAACACAACGAAGGAAATGCTCCTTGGGAAAAAGTTGGAATTGATTTATGTGAGTATAAAGGGGAAAATTATCTAATCACGGTTGATTATTTTTCAAGTTTCTTTGAAGTCGATCTATATTTATTTTATATGTTTGTAATTCTGTGAATTTTCCATTTTTATAATTGAGTGACTTATATATTCTGCATGAATTGCCTTATCATAGTAGGCTATTGTACTGCTGTGACTTTAAATTTATGTAATTTATTGACATAAATTCTGCATGAACCGTCCTATTGAACTGTTGAACAGTTGTGTATATACATTTTTTTAATTCAATGATTTCTATATTCTACATGACCTATTCGATCGCACTTCAGAACCGTTGTGATTTAAAATTCTGAAATTAGTTATATTTATGCCACACAAAATGACTATTTGTAAGTAATGTAACTCAATGCAATTACCTGGTTCAGTGATCTCTTAATCCGTTGCCCAAACCTGTAGATACATTTTATTCTTTTTTCTCTCTTCATATTATCCTCGTGTACAAATTCGTCCCCAGCCTTTATGAACCATGCATCAGCACAGTGCCGGTACCGTCCAACTCAGCTTGCAATATGGTGCTCCAGTCACTTAGACGTTACCGTATTTGTGCCGTAGTTGTCATGGTTATCTGCCAATCGGCGTTCGGAGTCGTTTGCTTAGTGAGTCCGGAAATATCCGGTCTTTTTATACATATTTCTGCCAATGTTAGTATTTTGGCGTCCGACTTCTCACTTTAGTACTGTATTTAGTTTGATTTTTGTTCTTGTATAACCCAATGTTAGACTATTCATAGGTGTCGTTGCTCGATAACCAATGCTGGTTTATCGCGTCCCCTTTCACCCTGAAATGCATTATTTTCCTCTCTTTTCTTATCTCGTTCTGTATGTACAGTGTGTATTTCTTGGTGATAAAATAAATTACTGATTACTGATTACTGATCAACTATGACATCACCAATAGTCACTTTAGTGCTATTTCTCTCTCTTTCCATACTCACGAACGGAAGGAGACAAGATATGGGTTGTTTACAATTAGACAGTGAAAATTGGTATGTAGCAAATTTTGCAAAGTAATATTTTGGTAATTTTACGAAAATCTTGTAACTATCAGATCTAGCAGCGACTCAGTGATAACAATATAAATTTTTATTTTGTTTAGGCTTGAATTTTGGACCATGGATTCATTTTTTTTATAACCCCCCCCCATTAATTCGAAATTTATGGCCATTTTAAAACATAGGCGTTCGCAAATTAAACAATGACAAAAAGGATAAACCTATGTGATGAGAGACGTTATTGTAATCGACAAATTAATGAATTCAAAGTCACGATAAGAGCAAATGAAATACACCAAAAAAAACACCTTTGTCTCAATACAAATTGACCGCGGAGGGCTACAATTTGTCATTATCACTGCTACTCGCAGCGTAGGTTGAACATCGTTATTTACACTATGAGCAAAAGTTGATTTAACGATTTCACTCTACAATCGCTCATGTCAATTTCCAAGTTTTATTACTCATTTCAGGTTCACATTCATTTTTTATTAAATAACTTTGTTACATAGAATTTCTTTTTTTACTGATCATGTCCTGTGTAAAGGAATGCTACATCTGAGAATTACTCGGGATATCTTGTGAAATTCACAGGTGATATACAGTGATTTTCGAAGGAAAATCTTTCGATCTTTATCCTAAAATCGAATTAAAAATTAACAACTACATTCCAGTATGTATGTAATGCCAGGCCAGGATTGCCGGTAAATATTTCTTAGAGTGATGGCAGTGTGAATTAAAGTTCTCAAATTCGTATTTCGGTAGAACTTAATTTGTAATTTATGTACGATTAACATAAGGTCGACCGATTTGAAAATGTGACGGACGCAATGCATGGCTACTTGCTACCCCATTTGAACAATAACGTTATTAATTGATCTTCACTTATTATAGCTGTTATCATAAATATTTATCGCAATTGCAGCCTAAATTATTTACCCATTTTACCATTTAGCCATTTTTTCTTAATTTCCCCCCGCTTATTCAAAAGCTATGTCCATTTAAAAACAAGCGCGTTTGCAAGGTAAAAAATAACAAAAAGTATAAACCTATGTGATTAGAGACGTTATTGTAATCGATAAATTAATGAATCCAAAGTCACGATAAGAGCAAATGAAATAAAACACCGCAGTCTAAAAACAAATTGAACGCAAGGGGCTGGAATTCGTTATCATACCAGCCACTCGCGACGTGGTTTGAACATCGTTATTTGCATTCTAAGTTACCATTACGTAGAGAGAAGATTGACCACCTGAAGTTAGCTATCTAGTAGCTTCGTGGCCAGATCTCGAAAAATAAGTAATACATGACAATAACCCGATTGCAAATCGGTTTTGAGTAAAATGTAAAAATACTTTTTTAATTAGGATATTGTTATTTCATTAAGATTCAATAATTTCGCATGATGAAATTTTATAGTTGTATTTGTATGACGCTGGCGTGCCATGACGTCGTAATGGCGCACTGCGACTTATGCAGAAATGCGAATATGGCCTATGGACGTACTAAATACTGCAACTGGACTGTATTCATCATTGCTTGAAAGCGCATGTCGGTTGCAATATCTATGATGTTTAATCGCAAAACTGTTTTTTTGTTAATAATTTTTAATTTTTTAATAATAATATTTTTTATTTTCAGAAATATGTATATATATGTATACATATTTCTGAAAATAAAAAATACTAGTATTTAAAAATTACAAAGTAAATAGACGATATAAAAATATTTTTCAATATTTTTGTAATTACTGACTTGATGAAATAAGAAACAAGAAATCCGCATGATAAATGTGGAATAGATATGTCGAAGATAAGTGTAGCACAACCGTTGTATAGCAAAATGATTTAATTTTCCGACGTTTCGTTGTGCTTCACTTATCTTCGACATAAATATACCTTGTGGAATAGATATATTCTGATTAAAAATAAAATTGTTATATAAAACAAATTACGCCTAATGAAATATGAAATCACTCAGAATGTATAATGAACTCTCCAAAACATTCTCAAAATGGGCGTTTACAATGTTGCAATGGGATTGTCAGATTTAGGCACACAGATGTTCCATGTCATACGCGTTTATTGTAAAACGGTTGACTGTAAATAAAATGAAATAATCAATAAACAATCACAAGATGAGGGCGGAAAGAAAATGCATAACCAGAAGTTAATAGAAAATAAACTTACATATGATAACGCTCCAAAGGCCTAAATCGACAAGAAACTGACATGAAACGTGAACGATGACGTTATTGGCATAAAAATAGCAACTAAATTTAGAAAGCAGTTAATAAGAATGAAATATAAAATACATGAACAATTAAAGCAATAAATGACGACGATGGTCATATGGGGCCCCGGTTACGATACCTTCACCACAGGTCTACCTAACGAGACCAAAAGCCACCCACACGCTAAGTCAATAAAGCGGATAATGCGAAACCACACCACTAACATCATAACAAGATTAAACGAGAACGTCCTACGACGCGTAAAGTCGAGATGCAAGAGCCACGCGTGACACGTCAGATGCAGTAAAGCCCGCGAAACTCGCGTCAAAACAGAAAAGCAATTATCGATAAAAATTAGCAGGTCGGAACACAAAGAAGAACAGCGTTCAAAATATTATCAACTGAAAAGAAACTTCTATCGCCGACAGGGATGTTGATAATTTTTCGGGGGTCAAGGGTCGGGGAAACGTCCATAATAAGAAAATGTTGAAAGGTTCCGGTTCAAAATCTTCTACCTATGAGCGAAACAGCGCCTTGTACGGAACAACTTTATGAAAATAAATAACGACTAATATATACATTTATTTTTAGTGCTGAAGTACAAATCATTTCGGGCAAAAAAGGCCGGAAAGGGGAAAGGGGCTTCCCTGGGCTTAAGGGATCACAAGGAGAAGTTGATTATGTTGAACTCGAAGCCTTGATCAATAGAAAAGTCGAAAGAGGTGAAAACTACAAGATTGTTTCATTTGCTATTGTAGATCTATATGCAAAGCTGGTCAAATCCTCAGATGGATAAGATAAGATTTACATATTTAGCCCGGGAGAGAGGAAAGCCGATAAGACGGCTTAAGCATACGATGAACCACGGCCTCTCGTCCGGTT